TGACAAACTAGAGGGCAGGAGGAGGCTGGAGAGCTTGGGTACCAGTTAAGGCACAGTAAGTAACAAGGGCAGCATTCTGCAGAGAGCAGCTTCAGTCTTTAAGTGGAAAAGCCACCTAAGGCACTCCTTTGTACACAGTGACACATTGTTGGAGTCCCTAGGCTCAAAGATGCCCCTTTGGAGGACAGCATCATGTTTCCCTTTCTGCTCACAGCAGTGAGAGAAAGGTTCTAAAATTAAGAAGCCCCCCCTCTTCTCCAGAAAGAGCTGCCCCTCTCCTGCAGTCTCATGTCAGCACGCTGAACACAAACATGGTACATGTCCCAGGTGGCATTTTTACAAATCTGCTTGTGCCAGTTTTGGAGATACAGTTATACTATGTCAGACTAGAAGACTTTCTACCTTAGTATCCTGTCTTCACTAACAATAAACAGAATAGCTGGGAGGAATATAAGCAAAACAGGGTCTCTGTTGCGATACTTAATTCTTCAGCTGTTTGAGGCTTAAGGATCTCCTGAGCCAAAGCTGGAACCTTCTTCACTGAAAATACTCAGTGTCTCTTCTGAGAATTTGTCTTATCTCAGAATATTCAGTCTCTTGGCATCTGCAATCATGTGGTAGTGAGTTCCACAGTTTAGTTCTCCACTGTATTTACATCAGTTCAAAACAAGTAAATACCAGTGATAGTCTTTTCTGATTCCCTGTAGTGCTTGTATTAGGTCAGAAAATAATCCTAACCCTACAGTACTCAAGCTTACAGGGTCCCACACCCTTTTAGATACTTAAGGGCTACTGAGCTGAACACAAATAACTACCTGCACTCTCAAAAGTAGTAGAAAGGCTCCAATAGAGGCAGGAAGCACCAAAGGTGGGGAGTGAGAACTGTTGTGTGGTTAAACACAGAACAGAGCTGCATGATGGCAGTGTCTTACATTCTGCTGTTGGTTGTTGGACAAGCACAGACCGAAGGCAAGATAATGAAAACAGATTTCCATTGTGCCTGTGGAATTGGCTTTTACAAAAGCATGAAGTCAGGAGCTTCACAGTATTTTGGAAGGTCTAGGCACTAACGTGGAAAATGCAGTCCAAGTCATAAAAGGAAGTGACTAGCAAGAGAGAATAGCCCAAGGATGCAGAACATCCTGCTGCAAGGCAGAAGCCCCAACTTCCAACAGAAAGTCACCAGAAGCATCCCTCCTGGGCAGGCTGCTTTGTAAACCCTCAGCACATCACGGATCATTGGCAGGTTGGGTCAGATCATTTTCCTTTGTGCTGTGACCTATAGAGTCCCCATATGAAATTTGTCCAGAGGCAAAAGTGTGCATGCTCATTGTGAGCTACACTAGACTTAGAAGACAGGATTAGAAATGGAAGGAATAATGTATGTAAGGATCAAGTCTTTGCTCAGAACACAGTATTTCTGACAACAAGGATATCTCCTGCATCTAGTCCATTTTTGTGGATCACAAATTACTCAGATACCTTTTAGAGGGGCTTTGAAATTGAAGGTGACTATTCAAGCTGCTACTGAAGGTTACATTTCATCAAACTCTTATACTGAGAGCAACAACTTTTCTGCAGGGGAGAGTGCACACTGCTCTTCCACTGCTGCATGACTTTGGGCATAGGAGATAAAAGGTTTTACAAGTTGCCTCTAGCATTAGCTGTGCCACTTTTCCCTCCATATCCCCTCCACCCCAACTTTGACAAAGCACCTCCTTTTGGAAAAAATGACCAAATAAAAGTCCTTCCCCATATAAGCAAATGACATATGGTCTCCTTGTCCAAGATCACAAAAGAACATTAGGAAAGCCAAGATGCTCCAGAAAGAGGGAGAAAAATGGAACATCTGACTTAGTAAAAACCAAGCTGCCATTGCCAGAGACTAATGAACAGTTTGTTGGCTTCAACTTCTTTGATGATTAAACACCAGCAGCTCCTGTTCCCGTCATTCTTGGGAGAGAAATTAAAGGACAAAGTAGTCCTCAAGTATGTTTCCTTTTAAGGAGGGGGTAGGGGAAATAAGAGGAATTCTTTTTAAGGGGAGGAAACAGGATGCCTCTGCAGCCAACTGCAAACAATTGTCACAGTGTAAAACCTACAGAATACATGAAGGACAGAGCAAGGCTGCCACAGGTTTTCCTTAGTGATCTTGAGAAAATTACCCTGGGAAGGGGTTATCCATTTCCACACAGGTAAAACAAGAGGTCCTAGGCCTTGATGAGCGTCAGTTAACCTGGCATATGCAAACAGCTGCCAGCAGTCCTTCCAGCTCTAAGACTGCACAAAGTCTGTCCAGACTCTCACCTTTGCTTAAGGCAGGAGGTAGCAGGATCTTGTACTTACTGTACTATTCACAGGGAGAGTATTCTGCCAAAATGCTGCTTTTAATTTCTCCTTTGGTGCTAGTGCCCACTTTAAAGGTTAAAGTTC